AGCAGGCAGATAAAAGCAAAACCAAAATGAGGGAAATACTGCTAAATCAACTTCATAACAAATATAATTCTAGTGCAGCAACTATTCAAAGTGTACACATGTACTCAATATGTAATAAAAACTGTAAATCAACTATTTTACCTTAAAAAATCAGTTAAGTTTAAAAATAACCCTGAAACCATTCTAAAATCTAAATATATTTCAAATTAGTAAAATGGCTAACACTAGTTTTAACTTATCCCCTTCACCCTCATATAAGACTTTTTGGAATGGAAACTATAAAATTTATGTTTCTTCATAACACAATGATCAATAAGCAGTAATGAATAAAGGGAACATGACTTTCAATCTTCCAACAGCTACTTTACAAAAAAGGTATAAGCCGTATTTTAATCCTTATGTACAATTCTTTTCCACTTATTTCATATTTTGTGTGGAATGGCAAAGTTTTATGATTTAGAACATAATAATCTGCTCCAATTTTTACAAAACTGTTTAATTATGCTAATTTGGGAACTGCCTTTCTTTTTATTTGGTGAGTTTGTAGCTAATCAAAAAATAAACATAAAAATAAAAATAAAAGGCCCCATCAGCTCACAGGAACACTAGGCAGCTTTGGGCCATATGCCCAAGAATTTTCTGATTCATTCAGTAACTATGAACCTCCCAAAGGAAATATTTGAAATTCCACTATTAAAAAATATATAAAATGAGCAAAAAGAGCTACAAGAAAATAGTATTCATTAGCATGAGTGTTTTTTCATTTCAGTGAGAAAATTATACTTTTGAACAAAGATGTTTCAAAATTTTGTTATTATGCCAAACTACTAAAATGCTGTGTATACATAATCAAATTAGCTGTCAGAAGTCAATAATAAATGAAAAGTATATATATAAATGAACAGTAATCATAGCTACTTTCAAGTTAACATGTCAGGGTATATGTGAGAAAAATCTAATAGGCTAAGAAGAAGTCAATTGGAATTTTACATTTTTAAAGATTGCTTCTCTTTTAATAATTTAAAAAAGTTGATTGAGAATAAACCTTCTTTCTAATGGAAACAAATTCGTTTGTGTGCCTTTAATGATACAGATAAAAAGGCAAATATGCCTTATCTAAATACTGATATTTTAGACACTTTGCTGAGATGGAGTAATAGCTCTTTATCTACAGCTCAGCTATCTTACATACTTTAGTTATAACCCAAACCCAGAAAGTACACCAGAGTTCTTTAAACAGCCAACAGAAATGTTAGAAGGTTCATGTGCTCAGGCATACTGCTCTCAAAGGTAACTTATTCTGAGTCTATGCACTTTGTTAAACACAATTCTACACAAACTTGGCTTTCCAAATCCACACAAGATGAAAAGCAACAATTATGAGAAGGTACTATAGGCAAAGTACACTGATAATAAGGAAATGCAGTATCTGAGTTTAAAAGCCTGAAAGTCAAAAGAAAAAAAAAAAAAAGACATCAAAAGCCAAAGTTGACCCTTCTAAGGTTACTTTGAACAATCATTCCCGTACTTCAGGAGACTCTCAAGTCAGCATGCTAGCACATTATACAATTGAAATTAATGATGACCTTGAGACTATACTTGAAGGAATACAATTCCTTCAAGTATACATTTTGATATCTGTGTACTTGATAGGGTGATCACATCTGATTTGTTTGGGACATCCCAGCTTAATCAAGCCTGTTGTCTGGCATAATTGTTACTGGCTCTCCTTTTCATTCTCAAGTGTCATGGACTGGACTACAACTTTCAGGGGACATCCTACTGAGTATTTACTACATGCCAGGACTATTTACTCCAGTTACTTTAATTTACCCTCACAATCCTATAAAATGGGGTATAATTATTGTCCCCTTTTTATAGATGAACTAAGACTTTGGAGGTTAAATGATTTTCCTAAGATTGATAGTAAGTGTTCAAGGTCTACATGTGACTAACCCAGACATCTGATACCAAAGTCCTAGTACCTAAAACACTGTAATACACAGTACTGTCTTTCCTAGGAAGATGGGTATGGAAGGGGGAGGAGGGGGGAGGGGAGAGGGGGAGGGGAGAGGGGGAGGGGAGAGGGAAGGGAAATATCCAAGTTTTTAGAAGAATTAAGAAATATTAAAAAAAATGAGGTATTAGCTTTCTGGAAAATGTCTATATAGTCCTTATGATTCCACCATCTCATAAACTCATAATACTGAAACATCTAAGAAAATCTTTGAAGGGTAAAACTTTAATAGTTCAAATTTTTATGAGCATGGACTTTCTTAGGAAACAGTATTTCTCTAACTTTATTTCCTGTTTTTTTTTACTTCAAAATTATTTGGAGGAAAAATAGTTATCTAATAGGTCACATTCGAAAAAGCAAACTACAATAAAAAGATTAATAGTAGTCATGAACTTCAACTCAACAGGCTACACTTTACACTTCCTTCTGAAAAAGATACTATGTATCAGCTAATTAAGTCTTTAAACTGTGAGAGTAAGTAGGTTACAAAAATAAAGAGGTTCAGAGACTTATAATACTTATTTTTAACATGACTTTTCTACCTACTTAACTGCACTTATTTAGAATGGTTGAAATGATTACATTAATATAGTATTTTCCTATTTTGCAAAAAGTATTTCCATATTTGATCCTCAGAACCAACTATGGTGGACAGATACTATCATTCTCTATTATGAAGAAAGTGAGGCTCACAGATTAATTTGCTCAATTATGACAGGAAATTGAAGTGGAGTGATGATTCCCAATTCTATGTGGAAAGAAAGCAATTACTTAAATGCTTGAGAGTAAAAGAAAAGTCTCAGACTTCCTTGTTAGCTGAGATAAAATACAGAACACCTATGCTGTCTGAAAAGCAATATTCACTGGGACCTGCCTGTACCTCTCTCCCGTCATAGAAAAATGAATACTCATTTGTTTTGGATCTCAAACTATTATTAAATTTGCAAACAAAACCAGGACCTATAAAGAGCAGAACCAGATTATTTTTTGAGTGACAAATGTTCATAATGAAAGGTGTTCTCAACCACTCTGTGATTTACCATTGCTGAAACTATCCATTACTGTGAAAACACTTTTTTAAAACAATTTTCTCCTAAAGCTCATTTGCCAGATTCCATAAATTAGCTGCTACAAAGGATCTAATATCAGAAAAACTCCAAATTAACAAGAGGCTTTTCTTCTAATCTACTGAAAGGTACATTAAACACCCAATGCTGGCCACATTATTTTACATAATGATGGAAAACAACAGCTGATAGCCAGTATGGGACAAATGCCAACTGTTCCCATTTGCCTGACAATGTTAAAAAATTAACTGCTACAACAGTTTTCAAAGAGTATCACTATCTCTAAATGAGAAAGCATAATCAACTAAAATCCTAAAAAAGACTCAAGATAATAGTGCCTCTCTGATTTGAAATATTAGTCTCAAAAATTTTAATGTTCTGAAGTATAAGTAAACATATCTCAACAGCTTTATATATTTTCATATATTTTATTTTTTAACACTTAGAATTTTGCAAGCTAGCAGTAAAATATTGTCCTTAATATTTTACTAATTAGCACCGTATACCTTTTAAAGCTAACTGGAACAGTTTCATTGTAAATGATTGTAAAATAAAATGATCATTTCAAATGCCAAATCAGTCTCAAGTAACATGTGAACCATTAATTTTATCATTACTTTTGGCTTTTGCGCAAAGATGTATTTCAAAGATGAACTTAATAGTCAAATCAGTTCTGTCAATCTAACAAATCAAAGTACCACAGTTTAAAGCAATGTTTGCTCTCTGAAATTATTATATTAAAGAGGCACATAAGTTGAGAAACCGGCTATAAAAACAAAAGATACTACTTAACTTATTTAGTTTCCTATTTTTTAGAAAAATGAGGAAAATTCCATGGTACAAATGTCAGTTATACATATGGTTTGGTGTATGCCAGTATTTTCATGCTTTACTTAGGAGTTTGGCCTTACCAAAAAGCCATCAGAATTTTTAGGGTAATTCACAGGGACAGCTGGAAGCCTAAAATAACTGCTCAGTGCAAAAAATCCCAAGCCATTCATATAATTTTAAATGAAAATCTACACATTTAACTATTTGTTTTCAACTGAAAAATCTTTTGAAAATGTGGAGAAATATCTAGTTATAATCAAATTACTTCCACACATTAAAAAAAGGGGAGATTTTTTATTTCCTGTTTTGGGATAAGAACATTCTTCGGAGCTATGGGGTTAAGGGTTAAGTTCAAAGCTACGACTGACTGCTTACTAGTATGCCTGTTTTGCATACCAGTAGAATCCAGTCCAGTTTTGCCATTTGTGGATAACTATGACAAGATACAAAAGCATGTGTTTGCCATAAATAGCTCTGGCTAACAGCAAACTGCTCACAGTGAGCAGATCAAATTCTCTATAAGGAGAGCAGTCTGGACCACAGCCAAATCCCACTCGTACTGTTTAAAACTGCTATATCAATTCTTTTTTCCCAATTTGCAGAATATATTAAGAAACAGTAGCTCAAGTGATAAATATGAGCATTATTAAACTTGTGAAGGACATTTTACAAATTATTTTCATTATAATCAAAGACACAATAAGAGCTTCCTTCTACTACCTAACCACTTACAAATGTAAACGTGAATTAAAAAATAACCACCCTAATTTATCTAGAGAACAAATCAGGTATTGAAGGGTATTTATGTTAAAGTGCAAAAAAAAAATAATTTCTGATTTCCATATTAACACATAAGAAAATAAACTAATGCTTATAAAAGTATTCCACTAAATATCTTATATTAGTTGGCTTTAAGATAGTGTATTTTTTAAACCAAATAAACCCAACAAACTGGAAAATGTCATGCATGAATGTTGTACAAAAAACTTCTTAAATGCCCAGTGCAGATTATTAATAGCATTTACCTAAGAAGTTGCTTCACATAACATATGCAAAATTTCCAAGGAAAACAAGGCAACGTTCCGTAATATGCCACAATTTTTATTGCAACGTGGCCATTTTGTGAGGATGGGGAGTTTGATTTCAAAAACGTTCCATTTAAGGCTCTTTTATACAGAAATTGCCATCAAGACTGATAAAATATCTTTAGTGTTGCAAGACTTACATGGTAAACATAAAACTCCTACACTTACTCAGTAGTGTACACTCAATGGAAAACAAAAAGGCATTAATAACAGCTAGTTCTTTTAAGAAGGTATGCAGGTAACAGGAATGAACACTGAGGTACTAGGATAAGTTGATGACAGTTAACACAACTTAATTGGCATTCCTTTTGGGTTGGGGAGTTAAACTCAATACAAAAAGTGCTTTCAATGCATAGTGTTATATCTGTGCTGCCATGTCACAAAAATAGGCTTGCCAAGGCAGGTGAGGTGTATGAATGCTGGAGCCTCACAGAACTGCAATCAAATGTAACTATAAATAATACTGAATAAAGTTTACCATCTGACCAGTGGATAATACTTTCAAGGCATTCAATTAGCTTACCCTTTGCAGTATTCTAAGCTATTCACATTGACAATCACATTCGTTGTAGTGCTTGCTGCAAGGGAGGCATATAACCAGTTGTTTTGGCTAAAATATCATGGGAAGGCATTCCTTGGATTCTACATCAAAGTAACAGTATTAAACAGTCTAATGGCAATCACTGATAGGCTGCTTGCATGAATGATATCTCCTTCATTCATTATGTTGGAAGGACCCAGTGGGAAAAGGAAAAAAACAAAAACAAAACCTAATACTATTCCAAATGACTGAGCTGGAGAAATGAAAGCTCCTTAAGATCCGGATGGCACTTGACTGTCATTTTATAAGGGTTTTCCTTCAAGTGAAACTACTACGTTGCCTCCCAATTTCTCTCCAAGTGTAGAACGGTCCTTTATGTCATCCAAGCCATTTACTTGCCACTCATGTTTAATACCTACAAAGAAAAAAATCCCATTACTTTATTATAATTAAGAAAGAATAATTCCTCTGCACAAAATATTCAGTGTTTGTACCTGTAAATTTCTTTTTAATGGCATCTTTAGAGCTGGCATAGATCATCTTGCTTTTTAAAGGTGCACTTTCAGGGGCCCTACAGAAGAAAAAACAATTATTGAATCCCAATGAAAAGAAAAACAAAGGCAAAACTGACTATGTTAACAACAATCCTTGCATTTTAAAAGTACTTTTTTCTTTTGTTTTTACACACCAGAATATAAATACTAGGTCTTCTTTCTTAGACTCTTTTGTTTCGTATGTGGCATCGTACAAAGCATATCGGCAATCATTCAGAGGTAGCAACTTCACAAAAGATGTGTAGGGGTCCTCTACAGTATCACCAATGTCACCCACCAAGATCTGCTTTGCTTCTTCTACAATTATTTGTCTTTTGTCATCACTTAAACAGAAGAGAACTGCTTTCTTTCTTTTTTTGATCTCCTCTTGTGTAGAAGATTTCCTTACTTTCATATCATTAAAAACTTTGATGACTTCATCATTCACTGTAACTCCAGAAGCCTAAAAATAATAATAAAAAAACAGTAATTCAGAACACCTATTTTGGTTTTAACCAAAATTACTATTTGCCTGGAGAGGATTCAAGTTAGTCTGGATATCAAAAATTGTAACTTTCCATGCAAGTAATCCAATCAGATTTGCCACGTTTTAAGTATCAGTATATGATGTACCTAAGGATTCTAACTCATCCTGCCCCATTCATCTTTTCTAAAGTGGTTTGCCGGCTGAAGTAAATAGAAGGCAGAAGGAAAGGGACAAATACAGGCTGTCCCATCCCTGAAATGTTTCCTCTTTCACTGGGTGATGTCAGAGCTTCAGGAACAGCAGTAAAATACCTTCTGTATTGTGTCAACTCTGCAGGCCTTAAAAAAACACTTTAGGATTTCAGTTAATGCTTCTACTATTTTTTTCTTTAAAGTCATCCTAGCCAGTGCCGTTTCCTCATAAGGAAAGAGAATCAAGTGTAAACTCCAAACCGCCCACAGATTCAATATAACTGCCTCGCAGCGCAAATGCAGACACCAAAATTAACGGATCTAGTGTAAAAGCATTTTTAACGCGAGAAAGCATTTTAAGACTTTTCCCACCTCCCTAACCTCCCTCAGATGAGTTTTATTACGGGCCACCCAGACCCTTCAGCAAGGGCTTCAAAACACGTACCAATTTTAGATCGCGCCAGTTAAGTAAAATTAGGCAGCTAAAGGCAAACACGGCGGGAGCGAGCGAGCTCCGCAGCCTCCAGAGCCCCGGTAGCCGCTCCCAGTGTCGCGACGCATCCTGCCTCCTCCCGCTCCTCTCAGGCCCGAGCCCGGAGCCCCGACCCGCGCCCGGGCCCGACCCGCGCCCGGACCTTCCCCGCCCCCAGGAATCCCAAGAGCGACAGCGCCCGGGTGGAGACAGAGTAGCGGGGCCGCAACGCAAAAGCGCCCACCTTTGAGGCCAAAATCAGGTTAAAATGGCGGCCTCACTCCCAGGCCCTGCAGGGCCGGTAGCTCGCCGCGCCCCGACCCTCGACCCCCCGGCTGATACGCCCGCCTCACCATAGTGCCCCCGGCTGTATTTGCGGCGGCGGCTGGGGCTCCTGCTCTGTGGCACTGGGAGGAGAAGAAGGAGGGGCTGGCGGACAGCAGCGAGTGCGAGGCACGCCGGGAGTTGCAGCCGGAGAGGCAGCGGCGGCAGCGGCGGCGGCTTGGGGGGCTGCAGGCGGCAGGCGGGCAGTCACGTGGGCACGCCCCGGGCCGGCCCTTCAGCCTCCAGGCCCCGCCCGCGTCCTCGACCTGACCCGGGCGCGCGCGCCCAGCAGGGCCTGTCTGCTACTCGGCGGTGACCCAAGCCTGGAAGCCTGGCGGAGCAGCCTCTAGCCTCTGGGCACCACCGGTCGCAGTCTGGGGAAGGCGCTCGGCTCGCGAAAGGACGTCTCGACGCTGCCTGCGCGAGGGTGCTACTCCCGGGGTCGGTGCGTTTGAGGGGAACGGCTCACCAAGGTGTCTTGCTTTTATTCACCCGAGGTTTCCACCGATAGGGGCCGGATTCCAGCGTTTTGAGTCATTTTGGAAAGCCCCCGTACAGAGGTGGCGAGAATTGTCAGATCTCCTTCCTCCAATGAAATGAGATAAACACTCTAGGGGTTTACCCAGTTGATTGAATTTCTTCGGGAAAAACAAAATGATAAACAGGTGGAAAATCACTTTCCAAAGTCTGTGGTTGAAATAATAGGGGAAAAAATTGGTAGTAGCATCCCTTGGTAATAATATCGTTTTATATATCAGATCGCGTAGGAAGTTGTCTCCGCTAGCAGTCTTTTTTCTTCATGAAGCCTCAGTTATGACAGCTGACATCAAATAAGTGGACCCAAGGGTGGAGATTACTCCCTGTTCTTGGCAGTCACAACCTCTTCTAGCGAAGCTTGTATAACTGAGCCAACGCTTTTCTCTACCCTTTTTAATACTAAAAAAGTATGCCATTTATCAGAGAAAAAAAAGTCACTTTATCCTTTGAGGAAATTTTTCATAAAGATGTAAGTAAACTATGAGTTTATAATGAAAATGTTATAAATGAAACACCTTATGTGTTATCTATAATGAAAAAGATTTCATTGTTTAATAACTTTGGGCTGATTTATGCCTCCTTTTTTCCTAAATGTTTATGGTTTCTATCTTTCTTCATTTGTGAAATTGGTAAAATGAATTTGAAACTGATCAATAGTGAAACTTTTTTAAAGTATATTTTACTGATTATGCTATCACAGTTCCATTTTTTTCTCGCCTTTATTCCCCTCCTCCCTGCAACTGCCCTCCCACCAACATTCCCCTCACCCCCAGACCTTAGTTCATGTCCATGGGTGGTACATGTAAGTCCTTTGGCTTCTCCATTTCCCATATTATTCTTAACCTCCCCCTGTCTATTTTGTACCTACCATTTATGTTTCTTTTTCCCCATCCTCCTACCCTCCCCTCCCCGGCTGATAACCGTCCATGTGATCTCCATTTCTGTGATTCTGTTCCCATTCTAGTTGTTTGCTTAGTTTTGTGGGGGTTCTTTTGTTTTTGTTTTTTTTTTTTTAGGTTCAGTTGTTGATAGTTGTGAGTTTGTTATCATTTTGCTGTTCATATTTTTGATCTTCTTTTTCTTAGATAAGTCCCTGATTAAACAAGTTATGATTAAATTATCTTTAAAGTCCTTTTTAGCTTTAAAATTCAGTTTCCTAGTATATCAGTGTTTCTCAAGAAAGTGTATATGTTCTCAGGATTAAGTAAGTTTAGGGATGGAAAATCATAATGAGAGGCGATTATACCCCAGTTTGTGTGATAAATTATTGTGTCTAAAACTTAATATATTTTGCCCTGGCTGGTGTAGCTCAGTGGATTGAGTACGGGTTGTGGACCAAGGGGTCACCAGTTTGATTCCCAGTCAGGACACTTGCTTGGATTGTGGGCCAGGTCCCCAGTGGGGGCCATGTGAAACCACACATTGATGTTTCTCTCCCTCTCTTTCTCCCTCCCTTCCTTCTCTCTAAAAATAAATAAATAAAATCTTTAAAAAAAAAAAAAGAAAAAATGAAGTCATTTTAAATGGAGCATGTTAGGTATTGCCCATGAAACATAGATCTAGTTTTTATATCCATAGCTTGTGTATATTCTCTTAATGGGAAGATTGACTAAGTTTAGAGACAAAAACTGAGAAGAGATTTCCTAATGTCTAAGCATGAATCCCAAGCAAGTAGATAATAACACTTTAACATTTAGCTGGTACATTATAGTTTATGAAACCTTTCTCTTCATCTCTTCTGAAATCCCAAGGAAGTAATGGAGAATGAATCTCCAGGGCTCCAAAACTCTGCTCTGTGTAGGTATTGGCAACTCTTTTCCTTCCTACACTCCTCCTCTCAGGGTCTCCTTGCCTTCTCAGCTTAAAATTTACAGCAAAGAGATTCCACAGAGGCCGCAGCCCTGACGGAGACCAGATCTATGGACACCTAGATTAGGTGTCAGAACCTTTTCCACCAAACCTGGGGATTCTAAAGATGTTGGGCATGCCCAGCTGTGATGTCAACCCTTCTCCAAACCTCCCTGTGTCCTTCACCCTCCCCAGACTGTAAGCTCCTTAAGCATCTGAGTCCTTCTCATCTTTGAATTTCTGGAACTTGGTACATAGTAGGTGTTCAATAGATGATGAAGTAATAAATTTAAGATGTTTTAGTCCTATAAAGAGAACAAAAAGGAGTCTTCTGAAGATTGTAAGGCCTTTCTACTTCTACATGTTCTTGTAAGAGTGGATCTTAGAATCTCAGGGTTATAGCAACTCCTTCTCTTCGTAACTTATTTATAAGAGCTAACACCACTTATTTGGTAAAGGGACAGCATTATCAAGCATTGTTGCATGAATTTTGGCCCCTGTGCAGTGGAAGGGTCTGAGTGTCATACATCATGTATATTAGTTTCCATCACCACATATTTAGTGGCTTAAAAACAACCCAAATGTATTATCTTACAATTCTGGAGGCCAGAAGTCAGAAATGATTCTCACAGGGCTAATATCCAGGGATCAGCCTCACTTCATTGCTTTTGGAAGTTGTAGAGAAGAATCTGTTTTCTTGCCGTTTCCACCTTCTAGAGGCTGCCACGTTCCTTGGTGTGTGGCTCCAGTTGCACACTCCCACCCCTGCTTCAGTCATCATATCTCTGACTCTCTCTCCTGCCTCCCTCTTTCACTTCTAAGGCCCATTGTGATTAGTTGGGACCCACTGTATAATTCAGAATAGTCTCCCATCTGGAATCATTCTGTTAATCATGTGCTACCCCTTTTGCTGTGTTGTGGGTTCTGGAGTTTAGGACAGGGACATCTTTCGGAGCCATTATTTTGCCTATCATACCACATCTGTTCCCTTTAGCAAGTTCAAGCCCAAACAAACAATTGACTGGTGGGACAGAAGGACCCTGAACAATCCAGTACTAGAACACACATCTAAGCTACCATTTTCCCTTTGCTGGACACAGGGATGGCAGCATAAACCCACCATTAGGAACTAAGTGGGAGCAATCTCAAGGAGGATGGATCTGAATGGAATCTCAGCTCTGACACAGTAGTGTCATTTATTTAACTGCTCTAAGGTTGTTTCCTCGAGTAAAATGGGGACTATGTTACCTCCTCCCTCTTGGGGTCATGGTGAGGATCAAGTGAGGTAATGTATGTAAAGCTCCTACCAGCACAGGAATAGGGACCCTGGGGCTGTTATCATCAGTGCAGAATGAAGGTGAGAGCATGATTTTAGCCTCACAGGCAACAGTCCCAAAGCATCCCAAACCTCACTGGTGTTGATTTATAAGACTCAGCTAGTTTGTTCACTCAAGATTTCTTAGAAAATCTGGAAAGTGAGCACCTCCTAATGCATCTTCTCCCGAGAACCAATCTAGATGAGGTTTCTGTGGCATGTAAAAGTTTAAAGTCATTTTTCAAGTTCTATCTGAAACAACAAATTTGGAAGATAATGCAGAAAAATTCTGTTCAAGCCTCTCTTCTTGTCAAGACACATCACTCTCAGTTCCCAAAGGCTCTTCCTGACAAAGACAAATGTAAACATGAAGACGTTCACAATGTCAAAAGGTACCTTTCTACCCACGTGCCTTCTTTACTCTGACACATTCCTCCTACCCGCCGCCTGAGCTAAAAGGCTAGTAAGGAGGCAAGTCATGTACTTTTCTAAGTTTAAGTTTGATCTTAGAACTAGAAAATAAAAGTAATAGGAGATATGTTGGAGTCTAGTCTCTGTGACTCACTCTCTGAGCCACAAAACTCACTTTGAGTCTTACACGGCTCATCTCTAATTCTTTCTAATTCTGGAACGTGACCTCACAATGAAGGAATGTGGCAGTCTGTGTCACGTGAAGAGGTAATGAGCTAGACTAGAGGATAGCAGCAGGAAATGTAGTAAGAGTGAAATGTAGCTTAAAACGGTTTCAAATTCTATATTTATAAATGCTAGTTTCAACTATTAACTCACAGACTCATTTATCAGATCCACTATCAGTTGCTTGTGATAGTAAGTCAATCATCATAGTAAGTAGCAACCAGTTACCTAAATTATACAAACAATATAAAAACAGCATCTGAGAAAAGCAACTTGCTAGTAATTTATTTAAGGTGATCTTTTGTTTAGCTTACTTTATTATAAAAGCTGGCAGTCTTTAAATCATAGAAGAAAATCATACAGACACAAAAAATGTAATGTGAAAACTATATGTTAATAGACATGAATATGAGAAGGCAAGAGATCAAAACCAGGAATGAGAAGAGTTTATTCATTTCATTCATTCATATATTCTTTCATTTCATTTATTGAGCACCTCTGCTAGGGGCTGGGAATGCACAGATAAAAATAACACAGACTCTGCCTTGAAGAAAGCATGAAGAAATGCCGTTCTGTGAAAATACGGCAAGGAAGCCATTATGTGTGGAGTAATCCCATGCACACTACAAGGGCATATAACAGGATGCCCTGGGAGCACAAAGGAGCGCCACCAGCTCATTCTGGAGTGAGTTGGGTCATAGGGACAGGTGGGGGTTAACTAGGCAGGTAGGGAAAGGGCAGTCAAAGCAGAGAGCAGTGTGAGTAGAGCACAAGAAACCCCAAGCAGTTTGCTATAGAGGGAGTCTCTACCCTTCGTAGAGAATAAAGATGGAATGGTAGGAGGTATCAGCTCTTAATGAGCCTTGCATACAATCACAGGCAGAATTTTATTCTGCTGGCAGTGAGGTAGATAATAGAGATTTTTCAAATGTGTATTTTTAATGACAGCTAAATTGAGGTATTGTTCACATACCATAAAATTCACTCATTTTTTAAAAAAGATTTTATTTATTTATTTTTAGAGAGAGGGGAAGGGAGGGAGAAAGACAGGCAGAGAAACACCCAT